TTAAGTTTCGTCTGATTTTGATGGTTGGAGACATATTTCTATTATAAAAAGCAAAAAAATCAGAAAAATTTAACTTAATTTTCATCTGATTTGATGGTTAGAAGCATGTTTCTATTATAAAAGGTAAAAAAATCAGAAAAATTGACTAAAATTCAACTTAACTTTCGTCCAATTTGATGGTTAAAGGCATATTTCTATTATAAAAAGTAAAAAAAAATCAGAAAACTTGACTAAAATTCAACTTAAGTTTTATTCGATTTTGATGGTTGAAGGCATGTTTCTATTATAAAATGTAAAAAAATCAGAAAATTTGATTAAAATTCAACTTAATTTTCATCTGATTTAATAGTTGAAGGTATATTTCTATTATAAAAAGTAAAAAAAATCAGAAAACTTAACTAAAATTCAACTTAAGTTTCATTTAATTTTGATGGTTAAAGGCATGTTTCTATTATAAAAAGTAAAAAAATCAGAAAATTTGACTAAAATTCAACTTAATTTTCGTCTGATTGGAGGCATATTTCTATTATAAAAAGTAAAAAAATCAGAAAAATTGACTAAATTTCAACTTAATTTTCATCTGATTTTGATGGTTAAAGATATGTTTCTATTATAAAAGTAAAAAAATCAGAAAAATTGACTAAAATTCAACTTAATTTTCATTTGATTTAATGGTTAGAGGCATATTTCTATTATAAAAAGTAAAAAAAATCAGTTTATTTTTGAAAAGTTGATTAAAATACAGTTTTTTTTTCGTCTGATTTTGATAGTTGAAGATGAAAATTGACTAAAATACAACTTAGGTCTTTTTATTTTTGAGACAATTTTTTTCGGGATTTTGGTGGAATGTAAAAAGAGAAAATTTGAAAATGATTGAAATTATTTTTTAAAAAGTTAAAAAATTAAGCTTATTTATATAAATATTCTTATATACTAGAAATAAACTCAAATAGTACATTAAATCAATATTATTTTAGCAAATCAGTTTAATACAAAAGTTTGATTCATTGGAACAATAAATGCATTTTACCTAAGGAACAATAAAACTATCATTCCTTAGAAACGATAAATACATCTTACCTAAGGAACAATAAAATCATCGTTTCTTAGATATGATAATACTATTGTTCTTAGGGGGCAATAAAACTATCATTCTTTAGGTATAATAATACCATCGTTTCTAAGGAATGATAAAATAATCATCTCTAAAGAATGATAAAATCATCATTCTTTAGGTACGATAAAATCATCATTTCTTAGGTACGATAATACTATCGTCTCTAAGAAATGATAAAACTATTATTTCTTAGGAATGATAAATGCATCTTACCTAAAGAATAATAAAACTATCGTTCCATAGGTACAATAATACCATTGTCCTTAAGGAATGATAAAACAATCATCATGCCTAAAGAACGATAATATTATCATTCCTTAGGTACAATAATACCATCGTCCCTAAGGAATGATAAACAATTGTCTTTAAGGAATAATAAAATCATTTTTCTTTAGGTATGATAAAACTATCGTTCCTTAGGTATGATAATATTATTATTTCTTAGGTACAATAATACTATTGTTCCTAAGAAATGATAAAACAATCGTTCCTAAGGAATGATAAAATAATTGTCTCTAAGAAACAATAAAATCATCGTTCTTTGAGTATGATAAAACTATCGTTCCTTAGGTATGATAATACTATCATCTCTAAGAAATGATAAAACCATCGTTCCTTAGGTATGATAAAATCATCATACCTAAGGAACGATAATACCATTATTTCTTAGGTATGATAATACTATCGTTCTTTAGATACGATAATATTATCATTTCTTAGGTACAATAATACTATTGACTCTAAGGAATAATAATACTATTATCCCTAAAGAACGATAAAATAATCGTCTCTAAGGAATAATAAAACCATCGTTCTTAAGGAATGATAAAACAATCATCCTAAGGAATGATAAAATCATTATTCTTAAGGAATAATAATATCATCGTACCTTAAGAATAATAAATTGTTGTACTTAAGGTATAATAAATACATCATTCCTTAGGAACGATAAAACAATTGTCTCTAAGGAACAATAAAATTATCATTCTTTAAATATGATAAAACCATCATTCCTTAGATACGATAATACCATCGTTCTTAAGAAATGATAAATGCATCTTACCTAAGGAACAATAAAATTATTATTTCTTAGATACGATAATACTATCATCCTTAGAAAGCAATAAAACTATCATTCTTTAGGTACGATAATATCATTGTTCCTAAGAAACGATAAAACAATCATCTCTAAGGAATGATAAAACCATCATTCCTAAAGAATGATAAAACCATCGTATCTTAAGAATGATAAATCGTCATACTTAAGATATGATAAATGCATCATTCCTTAAGAATGATAAAACTATTGTATCTTAGATACAATAATACCATCATTTCTAAGAAATGATAATACCCTATCATTCCAATCAGAAGTCAATTAGTTATAAATAAGATAGGTCAAATTTTAATATATACCAATCAGTTATAAGTATAACAATCAGCTATAAATAAGATAAGTCAAATTTTGGCTAATTTTTGGCCAATTTCTGATGTATGCCAATCGGCTAGGCTGATTTTTGATAATTTGCCGAATTTAAGCTGATTTTAGGCTGATTTTAGATTGATTTTCACATGTCTGATTTTTTTGATTTCGACCAGTACAGGTAAATTTGTCTGCATTACAGATGAAGGGATAATACATTTATATGTATATATTTTTAGTGAATTTATAATACATTAAAAATTATTTTAAAGCAGTTAAAATATCGTGTCAATTCTTATTATAATACCAAATTAACATCAAAACAATTCATTAAAAAAAGAATTATAATAATACCTTAAATATATATTATATATATTTTAGTAATAATATAATAATACCTCACAAAAATTCAAGGTTTCTGTAAAGTTATATATAATATATGTATACATTTTATTATATTATATATATATATATTCTTTATAATATTAAATTTAAATTTTTTTTATTTTAATTTTCATTTTAAAAACAATATATAATATTATAAATCATATAATTTGTATTTAAATACCTACAGTCAACCTTCTCTAAATGTATCTCTTTGAGATCATAGTGAAATTTTTAAAAAATGTATATTTAAAGAGGGTATGTATTTAAAGAAAAATTTTCTATATGAATTCTATATATTTGGGACTGAATGAGAATATGTATTTAAAGAGAAAATATATACTATATGCAATTAAAGAATGTGCATTTAGAAAGGGTTGACTGTACATACAAATAGAAAATACCAATTTTTTAATATAATATTTATTTATAAATATTATAAATAAAAATTATTATTGTTTATTTTAAAATAATAAAAATAATATTTATAAATAAATGATATTATTATTTAAATATATTCTTAAAATAATTTTTTTTATTATAACTAATAAAAAAATAAAACATTTTAATCATTTTTTAAATCTAACACTAATAATAAGATTATTTTATATTTTTTATAATTATTATCTTGATTTCTTTTTAAAAATTTATAAATAATTATAATGCAAATAAAAAAATTCAAAAAAAAAATGTAAAATTGTAATAAATAATATACTACAAAATAAATTATAAAAATCAAAACAAAAAAGAAAAAATCAAAATTTAAAATAACTAATTTTTTCAAAATCAAATACTACAAGAAACGGAATTAAATCAAATAATATTTTAAAATAGCTTTCAAATTTTTTTACTTATGTTGATATAATTTTATTCATTTCAAACATTAAATTTAAAAAATAAAAATTCCAAGTAATGTTAAGAAAGCAATATATTATATAGTGATGATTCTAAACAGGATTATATGAGTCACTATGAATCATTAACAATTATATTTCTAGACAACAATAGGTTTAAATATTATAACATATTTTAATAATTATTATTAAATGGAGAATCCGGGAGTATATGTTTTTCGCAATGTTGACGCCCATATTTTCTTCATATATTTGTTCTTCAATGAACAATTTCTTTTCAACTTTGGGCTTTCATTATAATCTATATTTGTTTTTCTTAAGGAATAGGTTGTGGCAATTCTGTCAACCCACCCATTCTTTTCAGTTTTCTCATCTATAATAGTATGAAAGAGAATAGTATGTAAGTAAGACTATCATCCCTTCTTCCATGACTTGAATTTTTCTTTCACACTAACCTTTAATGAGTTTTTAAAATATCAAAATTATTAATTAATGTGTCCGAAGTGTTTATAGATTGTTGTCGTGAAGGTTTAGTTCATTGTTTCATTGATAGATGTTTCTCTTATACGATGTATTAATAATTATATTATTATGAATTATTCGTCGGCTATAAGAAAATTATTAATTAATATAATGCGTCCAGGAAGATCTAATGTCAAAAATTAGTATTTACGAAGATGAAATAAATGAATATCATTTATTCTTCAATAATTCTTCCATTGCTAAGGTTTTCGTTCTCGATCTTCGAGGAAGTTTCTTATTTTTCAGATATTGGTCATTTTAAAGAAGTAATATTTCTTTCATTATCAAGTTTGATAATATAACTTCATCATACGATATCTCAGAATCTTCTACAAAGAAACTCCAACAAGAAATAGCTTTATTCCTTGATAAAATATCTAAAAAATTTTAAAATTAAAAAAATTTATTGGGCTTTTCCGATTCGTAAAAAAACAAAAAAAAAAAAAAACAAAAAAATACCTTTAAAGAACATAACAAAAATTTTCAGAAAGAATGATGCGATATAATCCTGTACATAAGGATTGAGAATTCGATGTTTCCTAAATAAAATACACGATAAAATTAACATGTTATTCATACTGTTATGCTGTTTAAAATCCAGTGTACAAAACACGTTAATAATGACATAAAGTACATTTACAGCATGTTTTTCAACCAACCTTGTCATAATATTTTGTGAGATGCTTGTAAAATTCGGTATTTAATTTTGGATTTTCGTTGAGTACATTTCTTCTAGTTCGACGGGAAAAAACATTCCTTTGATTATTGGATCCTCAACACCAATCGTATCAAAACTATTGTCATAAAGTATGTTAGATCATCAGGTATGCTAATTCTAAATATTAAATCATTAAACTTACAGCTTCCGTTTTATCCAAACAAATCCTTTTCGACTTTCCTTCATTATAAAAAATAGGATTCATAAATGACAAATTAATTTAAGAAAGTTTGAAATTAATGAATTTTGAACAGATTTGAAAAACACGAAAAAAAGCGTTGATTTACCTTTTCCTGTAAATTTGATTGCTTCTTCCCAGATTTCTATAACATGTAAAGAAGAATGTATGACTTAACATAAGGAAGGTACATAACCGATTCCTTCTCCAAAATCAGTAGACCTTCAATAGTAAGATGATGTGCACGTTGTAGAGGTGAAAGCATTCACAGTCTCAACGCTCTTCTTCCCATAGGATCGCGTCCAAGGGCGTAGCACACTCACTACGCTCGTTAAATATTTTGTAAAAAATACTAACCTTTAATTCGCGCTTTAACGCCAACACTTTCTGAACTATTCTTGTTTTAGGTCCTATGTTTTTTTCCAACACTTTTAACTCACAACCTAAGGATTTATGTGATTTCCACTCCAACGCATCGGGACATTCTTTGGAGAAAAAATTGTTCCCATGTGACTAAAGACCATTCCATATAAGGTCTTTCCCAATAAGAATATCGAAGTTTTCGCGAGACTTCTTCCGGTAACATAGGTAACATAAAAAGAGTAAAGAAACAAAGTTACAAAATATAGATTACCCGTTAAGCTAAATGACTTTATGGACAAGTACAAAATATAACGCGACGCGTTTTCAATACCCCAATATATCAGTCGGATTTTACGTCGATCATTTGATTTATGGTATAAAAATGCCGATCAGAAGATTCTAGACGTTTTGAAGGACTTTCATATGGGTCATGGACCAGCAAAAAGGACCTCCGAGACCCTCCGTCAAATTTTTTTTTTGATTTATATAAGCCGAACATGCTTAACTATATAATAATCTACTTTTTTTAATCATACAAGTATAATAAATTACCGAAATATTCAAATAAAAAAGTTTTTTTGAAAAAAAGATCGGCAATCTAAAATTAGAACGATATTTTCTCAAAAAGTGAGATATTCCTCGGTAAAGAGCTGACTAAGTACCCCCATAGTATAATACTCCCATATTTATACCCGGGTACTATACAAGTTAATCGCAAAAAAAAAAGTAATATATAGAATTTTAAAAAAATATAATGCCAATAATATGTTCTGAATATCACCATATTTATTTGTATAATTTTAGAGGAAAATAATTGTAAAGTTAGAGTTTTTTTTTAAAATAATATTTTGCAAAATTTTATGAAATTTGTATTGTACCCGGGTATTTTAGTCAGCTGTTTACGGTAGTCCATTAGCCACATGTTACACAAGGTATCCCGCTTAATAATTGAGTCGATGCTAATAGGCTTTTTTAGTTAAGATCAGGGACGATGATTTTTTGTGGTGATATAAAGTAAATTTTGTGTGTGATAAAAGTAAATTCTGTGAAATTTTGTAATTTGGCCGGAATTAAGCAAGGTTGGCCAACATTTCGACTCGTAAATTCTGGTCAAATTTAGTTTTTACCGGAATTACAATGATTGCAAATCCTAAATTAGGCCAAAACTTGAATCAAATTTTGTGATTTTTTGTGAAATTCTGTGATTACAATAAATCATTGTTTCTGTTTTGGATTAACAATGATTTTTCTAGTTTAATTTTTTTTTTTTATTTTTCTAGTTTAATTACTTAATATACACAAATAAATAAAAAAAATATTTTCCTTTTTTGTGAGTATCAGAATTCTTGAATCTATTAAAGTTTTAGAAAAATGAAACAGACTTATTAATGAATTTATTTTTTTTAATTTAACAAAAACATAAATATTTATAACAGATTAGAAATGAATATAAGAAAAAATTGTTAAATTTTTTTTAAAAAATAAAAATAACAAACATTACTTTACCTCTTTTGTATCTTTGTAAAGTTCTATGATGTGAAAATAATTTTGTTAATGATTTTTTTCTTAATTTAAACAAAAATATTAAAGTTGAAACTGTCAAAACTATATTAAAAGTACAGTCAACTCTTATTATAATGAACTCTATGTCCTAGATCTCAACTTCACTATAAGGCTATAGTGAAGATTTTAAGAGATTTGATTGGCTAATTCGCTATAATAAGAGTATTTTTATTATATTTGTTCAAAAAATTCGTTATATCAAGAGTTTACTATATTAAGAGTTAACTGTATAGTTAAGATATAACAAAATTATTTTAAGAAAGTTTTAACATGCATAAGTCATTTTCTAAATAATAATTTTTTATCTGTTTTTTTTTATAATCAAAGTAAATGAAATTTGCTATTCTTACATTTTTTTATTTTATATGCTTAGCTAAAAGTTAGCAAATTCTTTTATTTGCAAAATTGATAGATATTTTTGATCAAAAATAATTTTTTCTTTGATAAATTCATTTGATTAAAAATTGATAAATTCTTTTAGTTAAGTATTAATAAATTTTTCTATATAAAAAAGATTAGAATTAATAATAAACAAATTAACAAATATTTTGTTATAAAAATTAAGTAAATTAAAGATTTTAAAAGTAATAGATTTTGGATCAGAAAATTTTGATACATATTATTACATATAGAATAAAGAGTAAAAGAGAATTTTCTTTTTAAATAAATATTATAAGAATAAAGCTTCTTCTTTTCTTAAATAAAAGTTTTTATATAAAGTGTTATATTTTATTCAAAATTTCTTATAAATGTGCATAGAACTTTTTTAATATAATTTTTCTATTAGTTTTCACTATTTTATTATACTTGCATACTTTTATTTAGATTATAGCTATAATATATAAAATTATAGCATTTATAGCATATTATAATATTATATTTAATTATATTAAATAAAGAAGTTTTTACACAAAAATAAAGATATAATAAAACATATATAGAATAAATTTAATGAAGGTATAATTAGTTAAACAAACTAATAATCTAATAATCTGATAATCTATGATGATCTATAGTATACAAAATTTTGAAAACTGTGATAATAAAAAGATATAACAAATATTAGTATTTTTTTTTTATTAAAAAAATTATATTTTAATAGTTTTTTTTCTTTCATAAAATTTACTTTAATCAATTCAAGTTGAAATAATTAAGTAATTTTAATTTTTTAAAAAAAATTTTAACATTTTTTCTTATAAATTCATTTTTAATCATTGATTTCATTTAAAATTTAATTGAAAAATTTTGATCTATTCTATAATATAAGTAAAGACTAGTTTATTTTTTAAAAAAAAATTATTGATTTTTTTTTTTTCTTTTTATATATAGATTTATAGATCTTTTATTCAAGACTAAATAAATTTTGATTTATCCTAAAAAAAAAATAAGTAAATTTAGTATCTTTATTTAATTTTAAAAAAAATAATTAATAGAAATATTTCTTCTTCATAAATTTACTTCTGATCTATTAATACTATTCAAGGTAAATTTAAATTAATTAATTTTAATTTATTCTAAAAAAAGTAAGTAAATATTCATATAAAAAGATTTTATCATATCTCTTATTATAATTTTAATATAGTTTCATCTAAGTTTAGATTGATTTAAATTAATTAATTTTGATTTATCTTAAAAAAAGTAAATAAATATTTATATTAAAAGGATTTCATCATATCTCTTATTATAATTTTAATATAATTTTTGATTATTATTAAGAGATTTTATCCTTCATCTATACTTATACTTAATATATTACTTTTAAAAAATTTGTTACTCAAATTCAAAAGTTTTATTAAAATTACAAAGAAGTTAATGATATTAGTTAAAAAGAATATTTTCTTATCTTTAAATCAGCTAAATCAAATAATAAAAATTTGAAATTAAGTGATTTAAAGAATTTTAAAAAGTTTCAAAATAAATATAAAAAATTATTTAGACTACAAAAAGAAATTGTTATAGTTATATAAATAAAATAAAAAATTAATAAGAAAAAAATGAAAATAAGTAAAAGTAAATTATTTTATACTGCTAATTCTTTTTAAAAAATTTTTTAGACCTGGGTAAGAATTTTTTTAGGAAAGCAAATTGATTTTTATTATATATTTTTATATATTAATTACTTAATTTCAAGAAAAAGTATTTATATCTGATAAATTTTTTTATCATATTTAGCTTTGTTCAATGATTCACTTTGAAATGAAAGATATTGTTTAACAATCTAAAAATTATTTGAAATCTATAACCAATGCCAGTATTTTTGAGATAAAACAACTGATATATTGAGACCTCTTATAATACAACAATCAATCCTTTTTAGCTCTCATAAAAAGCATCATCTCTGAATACATTTTTAACTTTATTCATAACAAATTAAATAATCACTTTCTGTCTCTTACAGTTATTTCATTATTTATGCACTTTATGTTTAATCTTACCCCAAAAATATGGACAGAATATTATACTATTCAGACTAATAAAGAGAAAACTTGTAATATTACACTCACCTTAAAATTAGAATTAACATCTTTCATAGGTTATGTTTTTTCTTCCTCTAATACTTCTTATTATTCACAATCTATCTCAATAACTACGATAGTTTGCTTTGAATCCTATTAGTCAAATTTTAGTACCATAATGATCAAGCCCTATCCTGTTTCTTTTCTTTATTTTCTTAAAAGTGATAGACTTAATTTAGGTTAGATTTTAATTTCAGAGGAGTATGAGATCAGTCTTTTATAGATTAGTCATAGATTAGTTTGTATAAGATTTTCATGATTTTTTTAAATATGTATTCTATTTAGATAGAATGCTTTTATTTTAATAAAAATATTGTAAAACTACTGCACTTTAAAAAAAAAAATTTTTTACATTCTCTCTTTTTTCATTTCTTTTTTTTTTCTTTTTTCTCTCCTTTTATTAAGTATATTTTTAAATATTATTTTTCTAATATTATTAACTACTAATGATCTACTAATTATATTTATTTATTTTTTATATTATTAATATTACTATCTTTTTTTTAATATTTTATATATTACTAATATTACTATTTTTTTTAATATTTTATATATTACTAATATTA